CGGAAGTTGCAACGATCTTGGTTCGGCCGTTACTTGTGATTGGGTCGCCGTCGTTGCCGCCGCGTTATTCCCCGGCGTCCGTGAAGGTGTGAAGAAGACCTCTGTTTGGCTACATGGTTATGGTTACTTCAACCCTGGTATGCTAAACCTGGATAGCCCAGGTCAGTCCAACCCGTTTGACCCTGTTCCAGATCCGACCCGTTTTCCAGGTTCGGCTAGAATACAAAATCTATTTTTTTTCTCTCCCGCGTTTTTCTTCTCTGTTTTGCTGGATTCAACATGGCATCTAGTTCAGATTTACTGTCACCCACGAACAGTCTTCATTCTCCCATGACTTCAGTTAAACTGAATGGGAAGAATTACATATTGTGGGCTAAATCTGTTGCCATTTTCCTCAAAGGCAAAGGTCTTGGTTCTCATTTGACTAAAGAGGAACCCAAGGCAGCCGATGCCTCCTTTGATGCATGGGAAAAGGAAGATGCTCAGATCATCTCTATGATGATAAACAGTATTGGATACTGTCAAGGAGGTATGGGACAGATTGCAGCAATTGTATTCTGGGACAAGTAATATCACTCGTGTTTATGAGCTCTGTAAGTAGTACTTCAATCTTGAACAAGGTACTCAAAGTATAGAAGAGTATTATTCTAAAGTTATGGGAGTCTGTGAAGAGCTGAATATGTATCAGCCCATTACAGGTGATGTTCGCAGTATACAACAACAGCGTGCGTATGGGAGTCTGTGAAGAGCTGAATATGTATCAGCCCATTACAGGTGATGTTCGCAGTATACAACAACAGCGTGCAGACTTTAATGTTGTTCGTTTTCTTACTGGTTTATCATCAGCATATGAGCCTTTTCGTGCACAGATTATGAACAGTCCAACACTTCCATCTCTTGCTGAGGTATTTTCTAGACTTCAGCGTGCTACCCTTGCAAGTGATACCTCAAATTTGAATACTGGACAGAGTGGTGAGCGTTCAGCATTAGTGGTCTCAAAGGGTGAACATAATACTTACCGTGGAGGTCGTGGGGGACGCTCCACCCGTGGTGGTCGTGATTCACGTGGAGGACGTGGCCGTGGCAGGGAATTCAGAAAGTGTACCCATTGTGGTCTTTCTAATCATACTGTGAACTTTTGTTGGGATCTTCATGGGAAACCATCTAATTATGCCAATCAAGTTTCCTCTTCTCCGAATGATGTTGCTTCTGGATCACACAACGTAGTTGAATCAGATACAGTTCCTGTTCCACGGGATGAGTGTACCCAGTTTTTGTCTTATAAGCAAGCATCGAATTCATCTTCCACGGCTACTTTTGCCCAATCAGGTACTGCACACACATGTCTATTGTCTTCCACTCGCAATCCTTGGATCATAGACACTGGAGCATCTGATCATATGACCGGATGTTCTTCTCTTCTATCTAATTTTCATTCTGTACATCCTTCTCAAAGTGTTACTCTTGCTAATGGTTCATCCACTCAGGTTTCAGGTTTGGGGACAACTCCACTTAGTGATTCATTGTCTCTATCGTCTGTTTTACATGTTCCACAGTTTCCCTTTAATTTAATGTCTATCAGTAAGCTTACTAAATCTCTCCAGTGCTCTGTTACATTTGATCCTACTTCTTGTGTGTTTCAGGATCTCAAGACGAAGAAGATGATTGGTACGGGGCATGAAGCTGGTGGCTTATATTATTTTGATTTCGAATCTTCTCCTGTGGCTCTTCAGTCTTCTCTATCTCCATTCCAGTGGCACTGTCGCCTTGGTCACCCGTCACTTCAAGTTTTGAAGCGTCAAGTTCCTAGTCTTAGTCATTTGAAATTCTTGTCATGTGAAGTTTGTCAACTTAGTAAGCACCATCGTGTGTCTTTCAAGTCTAGGGTTAATAATCGTGTTTCTAGTCCTTTTCATTTGGTTCATTCAGATGTATGGGGTCCAATAAAACATTCTTCAATCAATAAATTTCATTATTTTGTGACATTTGTGGATGATTATTCTCGCCTGACTTGGTTGTTTTTAATAAAAGATCGTTCTGAGTTATTTTTAATTTTTCAAAAATTTCACAAAGAAATCAAAACTCAGTTTGGATGTCCAATTCGTATTCTACGTTCTGATAATGCTAAGGAATATTCTTCAACTCCATTTGATACATATGTAAGTGATAAAGGAATTATTCATCAAAATTCATGTGTTTATACTCTACAACAAAATGGCGTTGCAGAACGTAAGAATCGACATCTCTTAGAAGTAACTCGTGCTCTTTTGTTTCATATGCGCATGCCTAAACGGTTTTGGGGTGATGCTGTTCTTACTGCCTGTCATCTTATTAACCGTATGCCGTCATCTGTATTAGATGGCAAATCTCCACATTCTATTTTATTTCCTGATTCTCCCTTGTTTTCTCTTCCTCCTAGGGTTTTTGGATGTGTATGTTATGTCCACAATCTTGGTCTTGGTTTTGATAAATTAAACCCACGTGTCACAAAGTGTGTATTTCTTGGCTACTCTCGCTCTCATAAAGGTTATCGCTGCTATAGTCCTGTTTCTCAACGGTACTTTATTAGCGCAGATGTAACGTTTTCTGAGTCCATCCCATATTTTTCAGATACTGATTCACTTCTTGATATCACTCTTGAGTCGCCTCCTTCTGCCGTTCCTCTTCCCTCACTCTCTCTTCAACCTCGATCTCTTGTTCCTTTATCTGCCCCGTTACAGGTGTACACTCGAAGACCAAAGCCATCGGTTATCGTGCCTCCTCCATCGTCTTCAGAGTCCTTGGATCCGGCGCCTTCCACTGTGTCTGACTCCTTGCCTACTGCACTTCGTAAAGCTCCTCGCTCATGTGTTACTAACCATCCCATTGCTCATTATGTCTCTTATAATTCCTTATCGCCATCATTCTCCTGTTTTTCCTCTCAGTTGTCTACTACATTCGTTCCTAAGACTGTGCAAGATGCGTTATCTGATTTGGGCTGGAGGAAAGCAATGCAAAATGAAATGGATGCTTTGCATAAGAATGGCACATGGGATCTTGTTCCATTACCTCCGGATGTCAAACCTGTTGGTTGTCGCTGGGTATATACTATGAAGTATCTTCCAGATGGGTCTGTTGAGCGTTTAAAAGCACGTCTTGTTGCCAAAGGTTATACCCAAACTTATGGTATTGACTATGACGAGACACTTTCTCCCGTTGCTAAGATTTCTTCTATTCGTGTTTTGATTTCTCTTGCTGCTAATAGACATTGGCCTCTGTTTCAGTTAGACGTTAAAAATGCCTTTTTGCATGGTGACTTAGCAGAAGAGGTTTATATGGAGCAACCACCTAGGTTTGTTGCTCAGGGGGAGTATCTTCACACTGTTTGTCGCCTTAAAAAGGCTCTGTATGGATTGAAACAATCTCCACGGGCTTGGTTTGGAAAATTCTCTGAGGTGGCGTTAAAATTTGGTCTTAAGAGATGTCAGACCGACTATTCGGTGTTTCACCAGCGCACTAAAGCTGGCTTCATATTTCTTGTGGTGTATGTAGATGATATTGTGATCACAGGTGATGATTCTTAAGGCATTGCTAAGTTGAAGTTGTTTCTGCAATATCAATTCCACACTAAAGACTTGGGTAAACTTAGGTATTTCTTGGGCATTGAAGTTGCTAGATCCAAGAAGGATATAAGTTTATCCCAACGCAAATATGTGTTGGATTTATTAGAAAAAATAGGTATGTTGGGTGGTCGTCCGGTTAATACTCCTATGGATTCAAATACAAAACTTGTATCTGATGAGCGTGATCTATTTAATGACCCGAGCAGGTTTCGTCGCCTTGTTGGGAAATTAAATTATCTCACTATCACTCGACCTGATATTTCATATGCAATTAGTGTTGTAAGTTAGTTCATGGAAGTTCCTAGAATGCCACATTGGATTGTTGTTCTTCGGATTATACGATATCTCAAGAAAGCTCCAGGTTTAAGGTTACTATATAAATCAAATGGTCATCTCAGGGTGAAAGGTTTTACAGATGCTGACTGGGCTGGTTCTCCTTCAGATAGGAGATTTACTACAGGATACTGCACATTTGTAGGAGGAAATCTTGTTACATGGCAAAGTAAAAAACAAACGGTGGTAGCTCGATCTAGTGCTGAAACTGAATATAGGGCAATGGCCCATACCACTAGTGAGTTGACATGGATACAACATTTTCTAAAAGAACTTGGGTTAATAGTTGAGGCTCCTACTCCATTGTTTTGTGATAATCAAGCAGCAGTTCACATTGTATCAAATCCTGTGTTTCATGAGAGGACCAAAGATATTGAAGTTGATTGTCACTTCATTCGAGAAAAAAATATTAAGTGGGAGCATCTCTACTCCATTTGTGAAGTCTGAAGATCAATTAGCTGATATGTTTACCAAAGCATTGGGTCATAACCGGTTAAGAACTGTCTGTTCCAAGCTGGGATTATTTGATATATATTCTCCAGCTTGAGGGGGAGTGTTAGAATGTTATATATATATATCTATATAAGTGTTGGGCCATTATGTAATTACAGAAAGTTGATAGGGGCCCTTGTGTAGTTAAGTAAGACTTGTACTCTTTATATAAGCCTTGTACACTTTATTAGGTTTTTAAAGCATAATGAATATAGACAAGTCTGAAACTTCTCTCTCCCTCTCATATATATAACTGTGAACAACATTATATATACTCACCGGTGTGAGGGGTATTGTTAGAATGTATATAGGCATATTTTGTATTTCTTATAAGGGCATGTTGGTCATTTTTCTTGTACTATAAGTTGTTCTATAAAATAAGTGAGAGAGGGCCACGGGTCGCCTGTGTCTCTCCAAAATATTTTTCAGATCCCATACACTGTTTTCTTCTCTGTAATTCCTATATTCAATAGATTAAACCAATAATGGTGGTGCTTAATAGAATAATTTGTCATATGTATGCACATATATACGTATGCATAAATAATCATGAACAAGAGCAAAGACACATACCAAAGCTGCCTCGCCAGGCTTGATAGCAGGTTCCACAGAGTCTCGCCCATAACTGTTTTTAAAAGTATAAGATAATTCCCTTTCAATAATAATCAACCAATTCAGAAGATTTTTAAGAGCGTTGTGTTGGTAGAAATTCAGAGACAATTAACACTTGCTCATTCACTAATTTACGCAGCCTATCCTTGTATACTTAAAGAAGAAAAAATGCAATAAAATAAAATCAGCAACAAATTAGGTTGAATTGGGTAAAACGAATTAAATAAGAAAAATAAAATAATCAGTATGATTTGCGCACACTAAACTAAAATTAGTTTCCCATATACAAGCGGCTCAATATTCTTTCTGCTATAGATAACATTTGAGAGAATGGATGATGAGGAAGTTCTTGTCGCCCCTACATAGAATCAGTCACAGAATTCATAAGAAAATTGTCTTATTGTGAGATACCTATGGAAAATATGAAGTAAACTTTATAGTATAGTACAGACCATTAAGAGACTTTCAATTAATTCATGGAAGAATGACATTTAATAACCCAAGATCAGCAGCTAGGTAGCATAGACACGGACTCGGGACACAGACACGGACACGATATCGATACATTGACACACTAAATTCTTAAAAAGTAGGACTTGGGTATGGCGTGAACGCTGCTATATACAAAAAATGAATTATTATTTATATACATCTATGGAATAAGAGTATTATAGAAACTTTAACTCATTTCTAATTTCTATACTAAGAGTAAGAGTGTATTAGAAAGCGTTCAAGAGGGTAACGCATCCCGAAAGTTGTAAAAAGGCCGAAGCCAGAGAAAAGGTCCTAAGGACCCAACGAACCCAAAAAATCAACAAACTCCTCAATAGACATACAATTTCTCCCCATATCCCAACTAAAAAGAGAGCTAATAATATGAAACTCAAAGCCCCCAAGGAAGATTCTTCCCATCAAAAGATCTTCTATTTCGCTCCTTCCATAAGCACCACAAAACACAAAGGGGAACCGCCCTCCAAAAATACAAGTGTGGGCCCAAACTGCAACCTCACCAAGCATCAATCAAATCCCTTGAAGGCCGAGGCATAACCCATTGGACACTGAACAATCCAAAAATCAGGCTCCAGCAGTCGTTGGCTTGTTTAGCATTGAGTGGGTTCTGCCCCGGACAACGAGAGGTTTGATCGACTCTTGGATAGGGTGCGGGGTGAGTTCTCACGCTCATCTTTTTTGGAGGGTAGCTCCTCTATGTGTTTGGCGGTGTATTTGGAAGGAGCGGAATAATATATCTTTTGATGGGGAGTAGCCTCCCATAGGAACATTGAAATTCCGTATTATTAGCTTCATTTTTTGTTGGGGTATGGGCAGATATTGTAAATCTATAGAGGATATTGTTGATTTCTTGGCCTCTTTGGGTCCTTAGGATCCCTCTTTTGGCTTTGGCTTTGGCTTTGGCTTCGACCTCTGTGTATTATTGGGATGCGTTCCCCTTTTGAACGCTTTCTATATTACTTTACTTATCAAAAAAAAAAAAAAAATTAACGTAAACCTTCCACCTTTCGAAAGATATTGTTTCTTCCATCCTGCCAACCTTCTCTCAAACCTCTCCACCACGGGATCCCAATTACCCACTCTCCTTGAGCCCAAGAGGAAGGCCCAGATGGGAAAAGAGCTAATGCAACAGACCAGCGTGTCGACAAGAGTAGCAATCTCGAGAACCTCCCTAACACTCTTTCCCACATTCACCTTCAAGCCGGAAACAACTTTAAAACATATCTGAATACATCTCAAGAATCTCATCTGGGACACATCAGCATCACAAAAAACAAAAGTGTAATCAGCAAACATCAAATGGGAAATGTCTAGATGACAATGAGCGTCTCTCCCCACCCGAAAGCCAACACAAAAAACCTAGATCCACCGCCCTCTTTATCATCCTACTAAGAGCTTCCATAACCATGAGAAAAATAAAAGGAGAAAGGGGATCGCCCTGACTCATACCCCTCGAACTACCAAAGAACCCATCGGAGCCCCATTCACGAGGATGGAGAATCGAGCACTTAAGATACAGAACTCAATCCATTTTCTCCATTTCTCTCCAAAACCCATATGTTCCATCAAATAAAGAAGGAAGCTCCAACTGTCATGATCATAAGCCTTCTCAATGTCCAGCTTGCAAAGAACCCTGGACCCCACTGCACAATCTGGAATCAACACACTCGCCCGCAATAAGGACTGAATCAAGAATTTGACGGCCTCTCACAAAAGCATTTTGTGAGTCCGAAATAACCCCATCCAAAACCTCCCTCAATCTCGAAGCCAGGACTTTCGCAATTAATTTGTAGATACATCCCACCAAGCTAATGGGTCTAAAGTCTTTGATGTTAGACGCACCTCCCTTTTTAGGGATAAGAGCAATGAAAGTGGCATTCAAACATTTCTTGAAACGGCCCTCAGAATGAAATGCAAATGCATGAAAAGTGCCCATCACCTCCCCCCTGACCACCTCCCAGCTCTCAAGGAGGAAACTCATAGAAAACCGATCACGACTTGGGGATTTATCCCCATTACAACTTTTCAACGCCTTCAACACTTCCTCTTTAGAAAAAGGTCTCTCCAAACCATCACTCTCCGCCTTGGAAATCAAATCGAACTGGAGGCCCCCAAGCAGCGGTCTCCAACTGTGAGTCTCAGTAAATAACTTCTGAGAAAAAGAGGCAATTCCTCTACACACCTCCTCATCCTTGCACAATAACTTCCCTTCCACCCACATCCTCCCAATATGGTTTCCCCTTCGATGAGCATTAGCAAGTCTATGGAAGAACTTCGTATTTTGATCCCCCTCTTTTAACCACAGCAATCTCAACAAACTCCACCTAGCAGTCCACCCTCCTACTTCTCAAAGCCTCCACACAATCACCCAAACCCTACATGCAATCAATAACAGCAATCTCTGAAAGCGCTAGGTTCTTCCTCCATTCTAAGTTCCCGAAATCCTCCTTATTCCATCTTTTAATGTCCTCCTTCAAACACCGCAGTTCCCAGCAAGGATGAAACTTGGGGTGCCCGTCACATCATAGCCCTCCCACCAAGAGCGAACCCTCTCTATGAAACCCTCAGCTCAAAGCCACATATTCTCAAATTTAAAAGGAGAGCTTCTTTTCTGTAATCCCCCACAATCCAAAACCAAAGGAATATGATCCGAAGTTGGTCGAGCCAAAGCCGCTTGAACAACATCTGGATACTTCTCCTCCCAATATCCAGACACAAAAAATCTATCCAAACGAGAGAGAGAGTGGGAGACTCTCTAGTCTCTACCACTGGACCAAGTAAAAATTGCCCCGTCCAAAGCAAGTCAATAACTGAAAATCGTCAATAAACTCGGAAAACTGCTCCATAACCAAATCCCACCTTCCCCCCATTGACCTCTCCCTAGGGGATTGGATAGCATTAAAAGCCCCTCCAACGCACCAAGGAACAGGCCATCTTCTTCGAACATAGCCTAGCTCCTCCCACAACAAATGGCGAACGCTATCCTCATTGGGGTTGTAGACACCCGAGAAGATACAATGAAAACCATCCTCCTCCGTAGAAAGCATACAAAACATTGAAAAACTTCCCATCCACACATCAAGCTTTGAGACCCATCTTTTATCCCACATCACAAGAATGCCCCCCGAGGAGCCCGAGCCATCCAAAGCAACCCAATCCACTAATATCCCACCCCAAAGGCTTCTAACAGCCTTATCCGAAACTGAGGAGAGCTTCGTTTCTTGCAAACAAACCACATTTACATTCCACTTTCGAATTGCCAACTTCACTATCTTCCTCTTCTCCGGGTCATTGAGACCTTGGACATTCCATGAAATAATGTGTAACTTCATGAGCAAACAAATAAGTTCTCCTTCCCTCTTCCCCTCTCCCTCGACCCCCCACTCTTCCCCTAGTAGTTAAAATTCGATATAAGGCTCCTCACCTCCCTCTTCCCCTTCTCCATAGGCTGCCTTCTCTGACCCCCCACTTTCTGGTTGTTATTAAAATCTTGAAACATTCCCGCTGTCTGACAATGCTCCCCCAAAAAGGTCACCCCAACTAGATTGCCGACAACCCCGGCATTATCCCTAACCCACAACTCCCTGCAATTAGCATCAATCCCCCTATCCCCTCCCCCCATGTCCGCCCCCATATCCAACTAGTCATCCCACACAACTCCCTGTATACATGGGCGCACCCAACACCTATTTGTGCTCCCAAACATAGAATGCATTACCAAAACATTTCATCCTTGTTGAAAACCTATTTTAAGTTTTTAGCTGAAATGAGGATTCTAATCTTGTATTGCATACTTCAGGTATACATGGGGCATACCCTCTTTGTCTTTGGTGTTTCTTAATGATACTTCTACTTGAAAAATTACTAATAGAAGAAATAGCTTACTTTATTTGCAAAAAGCAAGTTTTCTAGCAAAATAAGAGAATACCTTTATCCAAGTACAACCACTAGACAGTTATAATATCAGAATATAACTTTATTAAGTTACAAACAGAAAAAAAATAAATAAATAAATAAAAATAAAAATAAAAATCCAATGAAGTAACATAATTCCACCATTTAGATAAGTGTCTATTCAGAGCAATCCTACATTCTGAACTACGTTGAAATAAATCCAAATCAAAAATCCATGATATATGGGCAAGCTACAATATTTGAGATATAACTAACTGCTAGCAAACAATGTTTGTACTTTAGTTAACCATCAATTCATGATCATTTGAATTGAATGATTGATACACACTGACACTAAAATTTATAAACATCAGTTGAACTTTTAAGTTTAGACTGTACTAGTTCTAACATTTTTTACTATTCCGCGCAAAGATATTTGAAAATGGCATACCCAGCTTGAACAACTTTATAATTATTATTGTTATTCTATTTTTATTTCTTCCCTGTACACAAAGAAATAGATAAGTTATGGTTACCTGGTGAGCTTCTGCATCTAAATGAGATAACAGTTCTTGAAATTATATAGTACTTGATTCAACAAACTAAATTTCAGTAATAAATATTTTTTGTCACATGTAGCATGTGTTCCAATTCAAAATTTGGAGAACTCCCATCTTTTCTTTTTCTAAACTGAAATGGCAATACTTTTCAATCATCTTTTGTCATGATATTATGTTTCACCTAATGCTTAGTTTTTTGATAAAGAACATATAAAATAACCCACAGTTCCACCCTAGATAGTTCTGTCATTCAAACTTATCATCTGCCTTCTTGGCAACCATATGAACATTAGATTCATCACAATATATATGGTTTTAAGGTACAGAAAGAGCCGAAATTCTTTAAATAGGGTAGCCTTCTAAAATGAAAGTTTCACTTACATGATTTGCCTCTTGCCATTAACCACGTTTAACCGATAAAAGCTGCATCCTCTGCTAAAAGGAAAAGGCTTTCCCTTCCATTCTGTTATAATTTTTATTATGAGTTTTATTGAAAGGTAACAAACAGCTGAGGAGGTATCCTCATAATTGTAAGAAGGAAAAAAGAGTATATTGTTTGTCATACCCAAGTGCCATTTAACCCCAACAGCTGAGGTATCCTCATTAGATAGATCATCGATAACAAACTGCAGATCAGAGCTGATTGAGTCAATGAATTTGTTGAAGAAATCAAGAATTGCCTGCATAAAATTTTGATGATAAGCCAATGCTTGAGATGAAACACAAAGCAGTAATGACTGAGATATGGCATCAATGTCTTACAATCAACTTCTAAAAGCAGTTGCTGGATTGTTTGAACCTCAATTTTCTTTTATTTTTCTTTTCCCTAACAAACTCAATTTTAATTTTGGGGTCAATAATACATACCATTTACTAAATCTACAAAGAAAAGAGCATTCAACAATCATACTTCAAAAGAATGCACCCAAGGATTAACCATAAATTAAATAATTGATTATTATTATTGAAGTAGTAAGAAAATTGATTCGGTATGTAGATACCTTGCGACCAACGAAGGGTTGAGGAAAGATAAGGTCCTCGTACACGCAGTTGTGAGCAATGAGGTCCTCCACGGAGGCGAGGTCGTGGCCGTTGATCCCTCTGTAGAAATTTTTCACAACATCCGAAGCCGAAGATGAAGAAGAAGATACCAATGGAGATTCATCATCATCTGCTGATGCTGTAACCACCACCGCCTGATTATCTGATGAAACCATCTCCATAGTTGTTAGGTTTTGTGGGGTCCTTCTTCTTCTTCTGCTGATGTCAGGTTGGTGAAGGCTGGGAGCAGTGTTAGTAGTAGTGAGGTTTCTTTTGAGACTCAGCAGAGGGGGGAATGATGAAGTGGACATCATCAGCATCATGTTTGAATTTGCCAACGCAAGCCCCACTATTGCGCGGTCTGCAACAATATCACGCCACGCAAAATATTTACTATGGTATAAACTATAAAGCTATGTGGCAAGATTCAATAAGATATTGTCGCGCGTGGCATTTGGGCGGTATTGATCCCACGATGTATGCTGCTGCTGCTGTGTAATGGTTTGTGGCTGCACCAGATCGATTCACTGTGTTTTGTGGTTGTAAGCTGCTGTGTAATGGTTTGTGGTTGTAAGCTGCTCAGCTGGAGTAATGACCCTAAGTTCGTTTGGGGCTTGTTTGTGGTCGTAAACTCTGCCTATGAAAAAATTATTAGGTAGTCTTAGTCTATTTGACATTTAGTAAACTGATTTAATAAAAAACCTTTGGTTACGAAATTTTGTAACTTATTAATATACTATTTTGGGACTATTTTTCAATTCAATAGTCTATATTTAACTAGTCCACCAAATATTAATTCTTGTCTATGGTTGTGGGACTGGATTGGTGCTCTCGGATTGGCCTTGAGCTTTCTTTGGGGCTTAGTGTCACGGGCCTAGAGATTTGGCGCAGCGGCACGGCCCGTGCGGCACCAAGGCGTTGCTTCAGCTCGCGCAAGCACCCTGGTCAGCCACCACGACCTACCCTCCCATGGATACATGCTGACTGGTTTCGGCTTGCCGTGGCCTCGTCAAGGGAACGGCTCCAGCTCCTGACCAGTTTGTGCAGGGATGGCCAACTCCCTTCTTCATAGTCAAGTCCACGACCAGCGACAAGCACCTCGAACTGAACCGAGTCGACCTGCCTGAATTCTGAAGAGGTACCATCCTGTGGTCCTGCACGCCCCTTCCCTAGAACCATTCCCAGTCAATGAATGTTCTTAGCCAACCAGCATGCGTATCTTCTATGCTCATGGCGTCGTTAGGAATCGGATCGTGACATTCTCCCCCACCCAAATCCTGCGACGCCCTCGTCGCAGTGCGGCGCTGACTCCGCTGCGTCCAACATTCCAAAGCCTGTCTCCTCCAAGTGGTATGCTCGCCTGCCCACCATCGCTTCCTTGTACAACCCCTGGCTGCACTCGCCCAATGATAGGGTTTCGGGCTAAAGGGACGCCCACTTCTTCAAGACGCAACCCCACGTTATGCCGCCTCCGCGACATCCCGAGCAAACAAGCGCCCTCCGGCTGACTTGATACCCGCCCTTCACAACGGTTTGCACGCCTCTTGAACTTGCAAGAACTTTGGTGCGCGCGGCCCTTCGGCTTAAAGGACGCATCTTCATGGGGAGATGGAGGCTCTCCTCCAACAGCATTGATTACCCACCGACGCTTTTTCAGTGCACCGTCTTCATTCTCAAGACCCCCGGATCGACAAGAGGGCACACCTCTGTGCTTTTCCCCAAGTCCTGCTCTGATACCATTTGTCACGGGCCTAGAGATTTGGCGCAGCGGCACAGCCCGTGCGGCACCAAGGCGTTGCTTCAGCTCGCGCAAGCGCCCTGGTCAGCCACCACGACCTTCCCTCCCAAGGATACATGCTGACTGGTTTCGGTCTGCCATGGCCTCGTCAGGGGAACGGCTCCAGCTCCCGACCAGTTTGTGCAGGGATGGCCAACTCCCTTCTTCATAGTCAAGTCCACGACCAGCGACAAGCACCTCGAACTGAACCGAGTCGACTTGCCTGAACTCTGAAGATGTACCATCCTGTGGTCCTGTACGCCCCTTCCCTAGAACCATTCCCAGTCAATGAATGTTCTTAGCCAACCAGCATGCGTATCTTCTATACTCATGGCGTCGTTAGGAATCGGATCGTGACATTCTCCCCCACCCAAATCCTGCGACGCCCTCGTCGCAGTGCGGCGCTGACTCCGCTGCGTCCAACATTCCAAAGTCTCTCTCCTCCAAGTGGTATGCTCGCCTGCCCACCATCGCTTCCTTATACAACCCCTGGCTGCACTCGCCCAATGATAAGGTTTCGGGCTAAAGGGACGCCCACTTCTTTGGGACGCAACCCCACGTTATGCCGCCTCCGCGACACCCCGAGCAAACAAGCGCCCTCCGGCTGACTTGATACCCACTCTTCACAACGTTTTGCACGCCTCTTGAACTTGAAAGAACTTTGGTGCGCGCGGCCCTCCGGCCATCTGATGCGCGCGGCCCACCGGCCTAAAGGACGCGTCTTCATGGGGAGATGGAGGCTCTCCTCCAACAGCATTGATTGCCCATCGACGCTTTAGTGCACCCACTTCATTCTCAAGACCCCCGGATCGACAAGGGGGCACACCTCTGTGCTTTTCCCCAAGTCCTGCTCTGATACCATTTGTCACGGGCCTAGAGATTTGGCACAGCGGCATGGCCCGTGCGGCACCAAGGCGTTGCTTCAACTCGCGCAAGCGCCCTGGTCAGCCACCACGACCTGCCCTCCCATGGATACATGCTGACTGGTTTCGGCCTGCCGTGGCCTCGTCAGGGGAACGGCTCCAGCTCCCGACCAGTTTGTGCAGGGATGGCCAACTCCCTTCTTCATAGTCAAGTCCACAACCAGCGACAAGCACCTCGAACTGAACCGAGTCGACCTGCCTGAACTCTGAAGAGGTACCATCCTGTGGTCCTGCACGCCCCTTCCCTGGAACCATTCCCAGTCAATGAATGTTCTTAGCCAACCAGCATGCGTATATTCTATGCTCATGGCGTCGTTAGGAATCGGATCGTAACATTAGGCCCAGCTCTACATTCAACAAACATATACAAATACTTTAATTTCTGAAATAAAAAAAGAAAAGAAAAAAACTTTTCAGTTTGTCATTTCCTTGTTCACATTAATTACCAAAAGGAAATGTATAATTAAATGGCAATTATACGGAAAGTAAATGTTTAACGATTAATATATAATGACTTTTTATGTCTTTTAAATAGTCTTTACTAAAAGGAAACTTAGAAGTTATACAATTATTAATAATCATAATCTAATTTAAAAGATAAAAAATTTTCAGTCAAAGTAAAAAATTTGTTTTTTGCTATTAAAAAATTTTAAGAAACATATAGAAATTTATTATTATTATTATTATTATTATTATTATACATACAATATAGAATTATACATATAAATTACTCAAATTATATATGGAATATTTATAACTCATTAAAATTAAGTGGATATTAAAAAAGGTGTAACTCATCCAATTAAATGATTAATTACACGCATTAATGAGATTTTTTATGTGAAAAAAATAAAAATAAATTTTAAAAAATTCTTTATACCAAAAGGAAACATAGCAATAAGATGAAAAGTAAATGTTTAACAATTAATATACAATGAATATTTGTGTCTTTTGGATAGTCTTCACTAAAAGGAAATGTAGAGGTTATACAATTAGTAATAATTATAATTTAATTTAAAAGACTAACTTTTTCATTAAAAGGGAAAAAAAATTCTTTTTTGTATTTAAAAATGATTAAGAAATAGAGAAATTTACTATTATTATTATTATTATTATTATTATTATAAAATATAATAGATATAGATATAGATACAATATAGAATTAGACATATAAATCACTGAAATTTTATATTTAAGTATTGATATAATATAGAATATAGAATTATACTTTTATAATAAGTATTGAAATTTTATAGGGTTAAGTGCAAAAAAAAACCCTTGAACTATTGGGGTTTTGCAACTAATCCCCCTGAACTATAAAAAACCCCCTGAACTTTCAATTTGTTGTAATTTGCCCACTCAGAGGAAAAGAAAAAAGACGAAGTTGCCTTTCCTATCCTATTAAACGACACAGTTTGCTGATAATCTGAATTTCACTTATTGACGTGGCATACAAAATCTGACCAACCAATAGGATTGCAACACGTCTCTTTAACTTATATCTACACTACCGACACAACCTTAACCAACTAACTAATACACCCAACCACAACCCTTTTCCCTTTTGTCAATACGCTACTATTCATCTTCTTCTTCACGACTTTCTCCTAAATGAAGAAAAAAAAAAAAAAAAATTAAAAATCTTGTCCACCTTATCTCTCTCTGTGTGTGTGTGTGTGTGTATACTATCTCTATCTCTGTGTGTATATGTCATGTGCTTGGGGTTTAAATGAAGCACAGGGTTTGAAACCCAAATAGAACCTCTCTGCTGACACCCTCATACTCTTCATCGGAACGCTGAATTTGATGGTTCAGATTGAAACTCAATTGCTTGTTTCGGCAAAAACCCAAATCGAGAGTATCGATAGGTCTAACGTTTGTTGATGTAAAATCTCGTGGCGGCATTCAACAATTCATTGATGTGCTCCCTCTCTCCTCTCTCTGTCTCTTTGTGGTTCTTTTACTTCTACTAATTGCCATGGACGCCGACGACCGTTTCTTTTGTTTCTCTCTCCGATCTTTTCTTTCTTTCTCTCTTTAAGCTTTCTTTTTTCTCTCTATTTTATTTAGTTGGCTTTGGAAACCCTTGAATTGACGGTCATCACACATTCCAGCAATTTGGAAGAAGAGCCACCATCGAAGTTGCTATAATTGAATTGCTAGGGTTTGCGTTATGATCCGTTAAATCTAGAGAGAGAAAGGCGTGTGTGTGTGTGTGTGTAATACAATATGTATGGGTGAATCATTTGCTTGTAGATGCCCAGTGGCGGTCATGGCTTAGAGAGTTTGCCGACTTAGAATTGAAATAGATGTGGAGATCCCCATTTTTGCTTCTATTGTAGGCCTCCAGTGACCAGAGGATTCCGTTTCGATTGTTCTATTTTAATGAAAAATAGGGGGTTTCAGTGGATCAAAATGGTTAACGCGCCTCGAGACCTACTGCTTGAAGTCCGTTAAATCCTTGCTTCCCCGCCGTTTTGAGCTTGCCGTAAGCCCTCTTTGCTGATTATTGGGCATCCTCACGAGCTCATCAACATTTTCGCTGTCACTGCGTGATTTGGGGAAATTTGGTTAAAGCCATGTTTGGCTTTGTTTATCATTATAAGCCATGTTTGGCTTTGTTGGTCATTACAAGGAAGGGATATTGGGGTCTTGACTGTTGGAAATTAAGGGCACTTTTGTCCTTTCATACTTCTAAGGGCAGTATCATCTTTTAATAAAAAATTCATTCAAATTTAATGGTTATTTCACACCGGACCTTGGCCAGATGGGGTGATCTGCAACTTTTTTGCATGGTTCAGGTTTCTTACATTTTTGAAAGTTCAGGGAGTTAGTTGCAAGTTTCCTCATAGTTCAGGGGTTTTTTTGCACTTATCCCAATTTTATATTATAAGAATTGATATAGATTTATGGTAAAAATGACAATTGATATTTAAAAAAAAAAAAAAAAAATTGGGTAAAAATATATAGAAACAACAAAAAAAAGATTCTCTTTGTATGTTAAGTGGAAATTCAAATGTACTCACTAATAGTATAGATAATGATATATAAATGTACATGTTTTAAATTGCATGAGTTACATCTCTTGAAATTCATACTTTAAGAATAAAAAATAGAAAATTCAATACGTATACTGTATAATATATTTGTATATATATCTACATTATACATATAATTTATTTTTTACATTTTGGATAATTTTTTATGCTTGAGTCGAATAAAAATATTTTCTCATTAAATCACCTTAAGATACATACCTCATCAAAACACATAAATTCATATGTTTTAAATCAGATACGCTACTTTGAAAACAACCCAAAAAAAAAACAAAAAGGTGGGGCGGCCGGGGGTGGGGGGCTTTTACATTTTTAGACTTTTAAATGTTTATCTATATCTTAATACCTTATTAATATTTTTTTTTAAAATAAAAAATTAATAAAGTTTTATCATCATCACCTCATTAAATGAGTTATTTTTTCCCATTACAGGTAATAGATAAGGATTATAATCCTTTATCTACCTACGGTTACATTTTTCTTTTATAACTCTAATGATCTCTCTCTCATAACGCGCGGAATAACAAACAGTACCTTCAATATTCATTGTCTCTCTCTTTTTTTATATATACACACACATTATATGCTAATAATAAGGGAATGCTAACAAGAGAAATATTTAATTTTTTTGCTAGTATTAGGAATTTGTACGAGTTAGATTCTTTTTTTTCCCCTTCGGTGTACCAATTAGATTCTTGAATTTTATTCATGCCACTTCTTATTTTTATTTATTTATTTATTTATATCAAACAAATAATCATTTGAATATTGATGATTTAGAAGGAGATGGGAATGGTGGCCAGAGCTTGCTTTCCATGCCCCTTCTGCTATATGGATGTTGGAATTTGTAGTCATCTGCAAGAAGAGCATTTCTTTTACTTCAAAAATGCAGTACTTAATATATTTGAATATGGTTATTTTCACTCGAGTTCTTTTTTATTTGTTGAAATAAATACTAAGTTGATAACTAATTGTTCAACAGCAAGGGCCTTCTATATTTTGTTATGTTTCTTTACTATCTCTATCTTCTTCTTTTTTTCTTTTCTTTTTTTTTTTTTAACTTTTTATAAATACGTCTGTTTAAGAATAGTTATACAATTGAACTGTATATCATATAGCATATAATTTTTTTATATTTTATTTTTTATTTGGAAAGGGTGACATATATATATATATATATATATATATATATATATATATATATATATATAGTTAGCATACATTCAAGTTTATTTTACTTTTTTTTACTAATATTAATATATATTATATAATATTCCTCTTGGTTCTAACCAAAAGGAAGATTGAGGCTTAGTGAGGAGAGAATAAGAAAATTGAGAAAGAAATCTCAAAGCTACCTGTGATCCAATGGATAGCAATTAGCTCTAATATCTATCTTCTATTTTTTTTTTCTTTCCCGGAAATAACAACACAACTGAACAAAGAAGCCAACAAACCCAGAAACAACAAAGGAATCAAACATGAAACCCCACAGCATCACCCAAGGCCAAAGCAGCAATCAGAGGAGGAAAAGTCTCAAACACGCGATCAAAATCCAATGGTTCACGCGAAAGCTGAGCAAGGGCATGAGCCACCCGATTACCAGATCGCTGGACACGAGAAAGCAAAGTCCTAGAGAAAGCTTGCAACTCCCGATTTATAGTGAACACAACTGAAGTAATTTTAGTTGGACAAGAGCTACCTTCGGCCAAAGCATTCACAACCAATTTCGCATCAGATTCAAAACACACATGTTGATAACCAAGAGAACGAGCCCAATAGATAGCATGATGAAAAGAAATAGCCTCTGCCACTAATGCCGAAGAACAAAGAAATTGTTTAAACATCACAGTATAAAGGATGGTACCATTAGAATCCCGAAAGACTACACCCCCGCCACCCAAAGTAGAATGCAATTGAAAGTTAGCATCAATATTATACTTCACAAACCCAGACAAAGGAGGCAGCCAAGTCGGTGAGGAGGCACACACAAATTCCTGCCCCATCTTTGTGTAGTTAAGCTGAACCTCTTTAAATTCCCAAAAGCGACACACAACCATACTAACCACTACATCTGGCTTCCACACCTCACCCATAAAAACTTTTCTATTTCTAGCCTTCTATAGAAACCAAGCACAAAAAGAGGACAACCCCAGAACAAAAGAGTTATCCGGTGAAGATTCAGCATGAGAGACAATACGATACCATCCATCCGCAAAAGACTGAAAATGCTCAAAGGAAAAATCGAATCGAATGGGAGATAATTTCCATACCTGTAAAGAGTGAGGACAACGAAAAAATAAATGAAGGACATCCTCCTCCTCTAAACCACACCTGAGACAGATAGGAGACTCCAAGCATCGTTTAAATATAAGAGTCTTTCCTGTAGGAATAGCTTCATGACAACACCGCCATATAAAATGTTTCACTTTAGGAGGAACTTGGCATCGCCACACCAAATTTCAAGGAAAACTAAAAAGATTAGAATTTAGAGCAGACCAACAATTTATCGCATGCGGATTAGTAGACAAATCATAAAGGGATACAGCCAAATGGTAAGCAGAATGCACTGAAAATTTACCATTAGATTCAGGTGCCCAAATTTAGACATCTTCTTTATCCCAGTGACTAAAAGGTATACGGGAAATAGCTTCAACTTTATTGGGGGGAAAGAGTGCATTAAAACATCCAACTTCCAAGTTCTATGATTACTATTAATTAACTCAGCTACATAAGAAAAAGAAGTGTTACCTTGCGTGTTTGTTAATTTGTGAGAAAGAGAAGAGACCCAATGATCACGCCAAATGTGAACAGATTGACCATTCCCTATTGCCTATCTCAACATACGATTCAGAAGATATTGGGTTGACCAAATACTACGCCAACCCTAAGAAGGATTTGAGCCAAGGGATGCCTCCAAGAACGAACATGAAGGGAAATATTTAGACTTAAAAAACTTGATATGCCAATCCTGTCCTCTAAACTTAGAAATTCCAAGCATGCTTTGTCAAAAGAGCTATATTAAAAACTTTAAGATCTCGAAACCCTAATCCCCCATTTTGTTTACCGTTACAGAGAGTCTCCCCTTTAGTCCAGTGGATTTGTCTTAACTTTTCCTTATTGCGCCACCAGAACCTACGATTTTGTTTCATCAGATCAAGACATAAAGTACGTGGAAGTTTGAATAAGGACATAACATATGTGGGCAATGCATTTAGAACTGCTTTGATTAAAACTTCCTTGCCTCCCACCGACAATGTAGTTGCCTTCCAAAAGGCGAGCCGCTCCTGCATGTTTAAGATAGAAATTGAAAAACATCTATTTCAGATCTACCAATGATAGCCGAAACACCTAAATAGCGAGCATGCATCCCTTCCTCCTCAAGACCTCACAATCGACTCAAAAATCTTCGTAGGGAGCATGGTGTATTTTTGGAAAAGAAAATAGAAGACTTTGCAAAATTCACCTGTTGTCCAAAGGCACACTCATAGCTATGTAAAATTCGCTTCAAAGGTTGAATTTCAATTTCCGAAGCAGAGCAAAACACAATAGAATCATCCGCGAAGAAAAGATGAGAAATGAAAGGAGCACCCTTGCAATTTTGAATCCTAGTCAAAATCCGTGCCTATTGAGCGCGATAAAAAGCTAGAGAGAGTGCTTCAGCATAAAGAATAAAAAGATATGGTAAAAGAGGATCATCCTGTCACAACCCATGTGAGGGATGAAAAAACGCCCACCAATTTCCCATTAATAATGATAGAATAAGTAACTGTAGATACACACTCATAAATTAACTGCATCTAGTGAGCATTTAACCCCAACCCTTTGAGCATTTAAAACAAGAAACCCCATTTAATCCGATCATATGCTTTACTCATGTCAAGTTTAAGCACCATAAATGCCTTATTCCTTTTCCTTCTATTCTTCAGATAGTGCAAGATCTCATGAGTAATGAGAATATTATCTGTGATGTGACGACCTGCAATGAAAGCACTTTGGGACACGCTAATAATAGAATGGATAACAACTTTTAACCTATTAGTCATTATCTTGGCAATAATTCGATAAGCAACATTGCATAACGAAATTGGCCTATACTGGGAAATTAAAGTAGGCAACATGACTTTAGGAATTAAAATAATATTCGTATGATTAAAACAAGAAAGCATGTGACCTGACTTAAAAAAACTGGAAATGGCAGCGACAATATCTTACTTGATTATTGACTAATACTTCTGATAGAAAAGTGGTGTCATGCCATCTGGACCGGGAGCTTTAAAAGGAGTCATAGCAAAAATTGCTTGTTTAATTTCCAACTCAGAGGAGGGCTCCAAAAGCATTTGATTCATTTCATCAGAAATTTCACAAGGAACATAGCGCAAAAATTGGTCAATGTTGGTGGGAGACTGAGAGTTGAACAAATCTTGAAAATATTGTTAAAAAAGAGAATGAATTGTGGCCTCCTCATCACACCAATCACCCTTTCCATTCTGAACAGCCGAGATAAAATTTCGAGCTTGTCTTCTATTGGTAGTTGCATGGAAAAATTTAATATTTTTATCTTCGTCTTACAACCATTGATTCCTAGATTTTTGTTTCCAGAAGATCTCTTCTTCCAACCAACAATTCCTGAGAGTTTGCTTAATTTGCTGAACTTCCATATGATCACAATCAGAAATGTTCTCCTTTAATTCCTTGAGACATTTTTCAGTGAACTCAATCTTAGAGCGTGAATTATGATGACGCGGTTTCGCCCACTATAACAAAGTTGCTTTGCAATTTTTAATTTTGGAGGCCCAACCAAATTGTCGAGATTCTTGCACTGGAGTACGCCAGGCATCAACAATAATTGACACACATTTTTCATCCAATGTCCACCTCGCATCAAAGTGGAACTGACGCTTGTTAGGTTAAATCACATGTTGAAACTCAAAAAGTAGAGCATGATGATCAGACCCCGCCACTGTAAGGTGAGTTAATCGAGCTTTAGGAAAAAGTGAGCATCATTTCTTTGTTGTAAAGGCCTTATCCAATCATTCTTGAATATTAGCCAACATTTTTGTGCTTGTTCCAGGTATACAGATAGCCAACATATCCTATATCCTGCAGCTCACATCTTTCCACCAAAGAATGAAAATTACAAAGTCTCCAACCACTCTTAATCAGTCCTCCACTCTTTTCAAATACATAGAGAATATCATTAAAATCACCAATGAGTAACCAATTATTTAGCCAAGCGTGAGATTGATGCTCTAAATCTTTCCATTGCATTGCCCGAACACTATCAACTATACTAGCATAAATAATGGATAAAGTCTATGGAGAGGAATTTTTTTGAAATACAAAAGCAGTAATATAAAAACGGGTTTTCTCGACAACCTGGATGCGAACATCCTCCGTCCACCACAAAACCAAACCCCCAGCTCGCCCCGTCGGCTCAGACAAACACCCATACTTATAGCCAAGAGCATTTTGTATAGATGCAAGTTGGTGCCATCCATTTTTAGTTTCAATGAGCGCAATAATATCAGGACTATGCTGTTTTTTAAGGTGTTTAAGTTGTTGTATGGTCAGAGAGGAGCCCAATCCTTGACAATTCCACACTAGCATTTTTTGAAGGGCATTAAAACTATCTACCATAGGGAAAGCACTTACAAATGGAGGCTTTAAATTTTGCCAAGAACACCCTCATAAGATGGAAGGCAAGAAGGAAGAGGTTGATGTACAAGTACAGTATCATGAATACCTCGTTGCTGATCTGGATAAATAACATGCCCCTGTTCAATGCCTTATTGTGTTGTAAATGACAGCCCATGGATTCATATTTTGGATTTGGGTAAGAAATCCGTCGGGTCCCATAAGTGACATGCACCCGACTCGCATCAGAAGAACAGTTTCCATCGGATGCTACACCCTCACCTTGTAAAGTGTGCACTGATGAGCACTGAATATTGCATATTTAAGCCCCTAAATATACTTATGTTAAGACCTAAAGTGATACTTCTATCCATTGTTAGATTGATTTATGTTTTTTTTTTTTTTTTTTTCTTTTTTTTCCTAGTTGGGACTTACACACACTGCCTCCACTGAGGTTTGAACCCCTGACCTCCCTTTGGGAAGTAGGAGCCTTGTACTGCTAGGCCACATGCCTGTTGCTGCTGATTTATGTTTAATGTGTGTTTATAGGTACTTTCCCAGAAAAATAGTTAAAACTAGGACTTTATGATGAAAAGACTGATATCGAAGCTTACAAAGTCGTTGCCGGTCATTCAGAGCAACCCAAGAGCTTAAATGGTGAAGTTTGGAAGAATTCAGGAACCAAAGCTCGAGCCCAAGTATTGAGGATCGAGCCCTGCAAGAAAAAGAAGAAAAATCAATAAGGCATTGAAGCTCGAGCCTTGTACCTTTAGAGCTTGAGCCTTACTCAGTGGTGCTCGAGCCTAACCTCAAGGTGCTCAAGCCTTAACCCTCAAGCTCGAGCATAAGGCGTCGAAATTTGAAGAGTTGATTTAATGGAAGAACCAAGCTCCCAGGGCCTCATGCTAGACCTCAAGGATTGAGCACCATCATCCAAAGCTCAAGCCTTGATTACCTAAAGCTTGAGCCTAGTACCTAAAGCACGAGCCCATGAAGCTTGGATCGAGCAATGTTAAAAGAGATGAATCCTAAAATATTTAAGTGTTGAAAGAAAAGATGCTTCGGAAAATATTTAAATTTTTTTGGCTAAGTGTCAAAGTGAAGATCGAGCACCATTCCTTGAAGCTTAAGCACTAATCCAATAAAGCTCGAGCCTTGTTCCCAAAGCTCGAGCTCTACTTCCTAAAGCTTAAGCCTTCCATGACAGATCAGATTTAAGTTACAGGATTATTTTCTCTACAATTCGTATCTTATTTAAGATGGGCCAGAAGGCCTAAAAGCCCATCAGACCTTTATTTTCTTCTATAAAAAGAGGCACATGCCTTGATAGAAGAAGTTCCCTTTTCTCGTATTATTCAGAAGGCTGATACTATGGTGGCAGTTTTTAGGGTTTTCATAACCTTAAAAAGTGAAGATCTTGAGAAGAGAAGTGTCGTCCATGACGATGGAGACAACTACAACATAGATGATATTCGGCATCGTCATAAGTAGTTAATTCCTCTTTTAGGGCACTGATGTAACCCAATCTAGTACTATGGTTTGATTATTTTTAACTCTGGGATATTTTAATATATATTATGTTTTTTATTACATGACTATGAGTAATTGAGACAACTCAATTGGATTTAATGCTTTAAATAGTTTTCAAATTGTTATTACCTTGTCTTAGATATAGCTGTTTGTTTTCTATTCCCAACCTATTCTTATTGAACAGTATCTAGCGGAGCCCTGCCGGACATAAGAATAGAGGTCATGTAATGGTGTTCAATGTTTTCTTATAAAAAAATGTTTTCATAGTCTATGCTTAAAAAAGATGGATTGTTTACAAAGTAGTTAGAATAGGTAGGTGAATAGTCCATGCTAATTGCAGATAGTTTATAGTTAACTGAATTTTATAAAACATCTTTCTTTAAAACCCGAATTGAACAAATGTTATTGAGTTCAATTCATTTAAAATATAATTTGTTAAATCCCAAGAGTTGAAACGGTTAACCATTGTATGAAGATTGTAGTGAAGTCAAAGCCCTAAGACCTTTCTCTCTCTGATCACTCCAGTTTAATTTTAGTTTATAATCGTGACAACCAATCAAACAATTCAACTAGTTACCTGTAAACCAATAGAGATTAATTAAAAGCAAAACATAAATACTCATCTCCCTGTGGGTTCGACATCCTCTTCATAGTGTTATCCTATAAAGATTTGTACTATTGTGAGTGGTATTTTATTATTGAAGAGTAAAATCAACACAATCAAATTTTTGGCGCCATTGCTGGGGAGATTTGTTATTTAGTTTAGTTTTTTATTAATTTTATTTTTGGTTTACCAGTCTTCGGACTTTCTAATATTTCACCTTAATTCTTTTTCTTTTCAGGTACAAGAAATTAGCAGTGAGGACAAAGACGCTTAAGGGATAAAAGTTTTAGTTTATTAAACCTTTAGTGAGTTTTTGCTGTTTTCTTTTACTTAGAAAATTTTATTTGTGTCACTTTTAGGATTAGTGGAATTAATGCATGTTAACTCGTCATACTCGGTCAAAACCTTTAGTGCATGATCCTAAAATAGAGAGAACTCTTAGTCAATTAAGGAAACTTAAAAAATATTTGAATATAATAGGAAGTTCCTCTGATAACATGGCTGATACTTGGGATGCATGGGGTAATGGCAATGGTAATGGTAATGGTAATGGAGAACGGGTCCCACCCGCTCCTCTACAACCATAATTGAGGGATCATTTTATCCCTACCACATATACTTTTCCTTCGTGCTTTGTATTTCCGGATGCTGATGCAACCCATTTTGAGATCAAGCCTACTATGATCAAAATGCTTCCTACCTGCCATGGGTTTGCAACAGAGGATCCTTATATGCACTTGGATGTATTTTTGGAATTGTGTTAGTTAACCACTCTTACCAATGACTCATTCAGGATGCGACTTTTCCAATTCTCTCTCAAGGATAAGGCAAGAACTTGGTTGCATTCCCTTCCACCAAATTCCATATCTACATGGGATATGCTGCAATAAGAGTTTTTGAAAAAGTACTACACAGTGTGTAAAACCTGTCAAATGAGAAGATAAATCATGACATTTTGCCAAATCTCGGGAGAACAGTTCCATGATGCATAGAAAAGATATAATGACCTTCTAAGAAAGTGTCCACACCATGATATTGCTCAATAGCACTTAATACAGATTTTCTATGATAGTCTTTCTAATTCTTATAGAAACATGGTTGATGCATCTAGTAATGGAGCCTTTCTACGTAAGAGTCCAGCTAACGCTTGGGAACTGTTTTAGGCCCTAAGTGAAAATTCAATGCAACATGTATCTTCCTCTAGGTCTAAGTCTTCACCTAAAATGCATAAAGTTGAAAAACTCTATTAGGTAGACAAATCTAGTGAGTTAGCCGCTCAAATAGAAGCCTTGAACAGTTGGTTTGATCAAATATTATCATCTGGCTTTTCTCCTGTTGCTAATTCACAAACTGCCTTGCCAAAGGAAGTTAGTTTGATTTGTGCTAATCCTTCCCATTTTGCTGACACTTGCCCTATGATGGGACAATCATCTGAGATCCCACAGGAACAAGTGAATGCTGCATTCTCTAGACCACCTTACAATCCATATGTTTTCACATATAATTCTGGCTAGAGAGATCATCTAAATCTATCACATTGTAATCAAAATCAAGGAACCACTGTTCCTCAATCACAGGACAGTATCAAAATTCATCTAATCATATGTCACAAAATAACTCTTTCAATCAATCTGGTATTTATCGTCCACCTCAGTTTAGGAACCAACCTACTCAAACTCCTAATCTTCCACCTCCTCTTAGAAATTCTGCTTTTGAGGATCAAGTACTCAATGCTCTTGTTGATCTTAAAGCCAATATCCAACTTCTTAATTCTCATTCATAATCCATAGCAAAGCTAGAGGCACAAGTTGGGCAAATAGTGAGTACTCTATCTCGAAGAGAGGATGGAAAGCTGCCTAGTCAGCCAGTAGCCAACCCGAAAGGGCAGACTTTCGTGGTTAATGAAACCAATTCCTCAGGCATTCATTATGATAAGTTTAGACTATTACTACATTGAGGAGTGGTAGAGTGGTTGATAATCAAGTTGAAAAAGGACAAGAAGAAAAAGATAGGCTTAGGGTTCCCATTGTTCCTATCATCCATAATCCACATCCCAATGATGTTTCCTCAAGATTATTCCACAATCCACCATAGGAATTGAAGGTGAAGTCACTTCTTCATCTTCTCCTGACCTTAAGACAGCTTATGAGCCAAGAGCGCCTTATCCTGAACGTCTCAAGGAACCCTCCCACTTTGGTAAACAAGGGGAGAAAATTTAAGATATGATGGAGGTCTTTAAATAGGTCAAAATCAATCTTCCTCTGCTTGATGCTATAAAGCAAATTCCAGCCTACTCCAAATTTCTAAAGGATTTGTGCACTCTCAAGAGAAAATCCAAAAGCCAAGTTCCTAAGAAAATTTGTCTCACCGAGCAAGTTAGTGCTATTCTTTTAAGTACAACACTCCTCTAAAGGTTAAAGATCCTGGTGCTCCTATAATTTCTTGCATAATTGGAAACAATGTGATAGAGCAAGTTCTTCTTGATCTTGGAGCAAGTGTTAATCTTATTCCTTACTCGGTGTATGAGAAGCTATGCTTGGGAGAGTTAAAACCTACGTCGATTGTTCTACAACTTACTGACCGTTCTGTCAAACAACCATGAGGTATTATTGAAGATTTTACTTGTTCCACTTGTTCAATTAGGTACTTGAATACAAGGAAAACAAACTTGGGATTCTGACGTTGTTGCTTGGGACCTTTGTGAGCAATTTTTGAAACTCTTGTAGCTTAATTGTTCATTGCTATATGCTTGAGAAACAACCCTTGTCGAAGCTAATTACATTGTTTAATTTCTTGTCCAAGCATGAGCCTTTGTCGAGGTTATTTACTTAATTGTTGAAAGCATGGGTCCTTGTTGATCACGTCTATTAATTTCTTGCATTGATATAACATGGGAGTATGGGAACATCATATGTGAAGGTTGGAATTTGTTGTTGATTGTTGTGAAGTTGTGGTGAGTTGTTATTGTGCACTCGTGGTAGAAGGTTTCCTAGAGTTCCTCTCTTCCCAATCTTGTTCATCACATCACTCTAATGGAAGACAAAATGTGAATCATGGTTATGTAGACCCCAATATGATCCAACAACCTCATCTAGGTCAAATTCATCCCAGAGTTCAAGCTCCAAATCCTCCAATGGTCATTCGTGATCATTACACTCCTAATGTATACAATGCACCAACATGCATCCAATTGCCAAATTCTAGGGCCAATCATTATGAGATTAAACCCCTGACCATTCAAATGTGTCCCATTTTTCATGGGTTGAGCAATGAAGAACCCTACAAATAGTTGGATGAGTTTCTAAAGGCTTGTTACCGTGAAAATCATGAATGTCCTCGAAGAAGTTTTAAAAATGAATCTCTTTCCTTTCACTATTCGGGACAAAGCTAAATATTGGTTTATCAACTTGGGGGCGAATACTATAACATCATGGCTCAATTACAATAAGAATTTCTAAAAAAGTATTACCTCGCAAGTAGAACTAATTCAATAAGAACCTTAATTTGTGAGTTTACTCAACGAGATAGAGAACCCCTACATGAAGCGTGGGAGTGTTTGAATGACTTGCTAAGAAAGTGTCCACATCATGACCTTCCAAAGTGGCAATTGTTTTAATACTTCTATGAGAGCTTATCCGATACCCACAAATGTATGATTGATGCTTCTTGTGGAGGTTTATATTTGGAAGAAAATGAGGATGACATTTGGCGCCTCTTTGAGAATATGAGTGAGAATTCAATGCATAGATCTCAATCCTCTCGGGAAAGTCGTAATTCTAATATAGGAGGGAAGAAGAACTCAAACTTGTGTCGAGTGGAGAGTTCAATGGAGATTGCCATCGAAATTAAAACTCTTACCCAAAGGCTTGGCCAATTCTTGTTGAGTCAAAAAGCGGCAACTCAATCATTCTACTCTTCCTATCCTTAAAATAAAGTGTGTATGACTTGTTCTAGTTATAATCACAATATTTCCAATTGTCCTCAAGGATAAGCTTTTAAAAGTGAGCAACAAGAATAAGTTAATGCCACATTCGCTCATCCTTATTCCAATGCTAATATTCCGAGATGGAGAGAGACTTCAAACTTTTCTTAAAAAAATCAAGGAGTTGGTGCAAACCCTCCACAAGTTAAAATTTCTAAGGAAAGTAAGTGCATCCTCTCCTTCAAAATGCAAATTCTCAAGGGTACCATTGTCCTTTCTATCTCCATCAAAATGAGAATCACTATTCTCATCCTCAAGCTTCCAATTCTCAAGCTTACTCTCATCAATCTTAAGCACCTCTTAGGAATTCCAGCTTTGAGGTTAAGGTTTTGGCGGCCTTCGGTGGCTTAGAAGCAAACAATCAATTATTACACTCTTATTCTCAATCTATCACAAGGCTTGAATCCCAAATCGGGAAAATAGCTAATTCCATAAATGCGAAAGAGAAAGGTAAGTTGCCTAGCCAACTTGAGACCAATCCCAAGATACATTACATGGTGGAAACAAGTCCTACATCAGGATTTCCTCCACATGAGCAAGTGCAAGCTATAACCACATTGAGAAGTGGTAGGCGAGTGGACAATAGGGTAGAGAAACCAAGTGAAGTTAGTGAACTGGTGCAACCAAGTGGTTACCCCTGTCTCAATCCAAATCCTATTCCTACTCCATTGGATGCAAGTGGTTCCAAAAAGAATTCTCCATCATCATCATCCCCCTAATTAAAGAAGCTTTTTTAGCCAAAAGGTCCATTTCCTTATGCTTTGAGAGAGATTTCACCATTTGGGAAAAAAAAAGGAAAAATCCATGACATGATGAAAGTTTTCAAGTAAGTTAAAATCAATCTTCCTCTTCTAGATACTATTAGGCAAATTCCACTATATGCAAATTTTTTGAAGGACTTTTGCACTCAAAAGAGGAAGAACAAGGAACAAAGCCCAAAGAAAGTGCTCCTCACGGAGCAAGTGAGCTCCATTCTTCTCCATAACACTCCTCTTGAGTTCAAGGACCCTGGTGCTCCAATCATTTTTTGTGTCATTGGGAACCATGAGGTTTGTAGGGCTCTTTTTGATTTAGGGGCAAGTGTTAACCTCATCCCTTACTCCGTGTATGTGCAATTAGGATTGAGTGACTTGAAGCCAACTTTGCTGGTACTCCAATTAACCGATAGATCTACCAAGAAGCCTAGGGGAATGGTTAAGAACATCCTCATTAAGGTTGATAAATTCTACTTCCCGGTTGATTTTATTGTGCTAGACACCAAACTGGTTTCCAATCATATCAATCATATTCCAATCATCCTAGGAAAATCATTCCTTGCCACCTGTAATGACTCGGTCATTTTCCTCCTTTTTTTTTTTTTTTTTTTTTTTTTTTTTTTTTCTGAAATTTTACGGATAAATTTTTTCCGTTTAATTTTCTTTTCTGAGTTCAGTTTCTCGTCGTTTAGTGTCATCTCGAGTGCTCGAAAATGGTTTCTGAGACTTTTTCGTTTGGATTGACAACTTCCTTTGAGGACCGAGTCATTTCCATATTTTCACTTTTCGGACACTATCCACTTTTTGTCCTTTTCCCTAATTCGTCCTTTTCCCTATTTTGTCTTTTCTCTGTTTGTCAGTTTTTGGCACAACCTCACTTTTCATGCTCGGAGTTAGTTTTTGACTTCACGTGCCTTCATTCTAAGTGGTTTCCATGAAATACGTATCTTTACTTTTGCAAGAAAGTACTCTGATTGCTCCCGGTGTCCATAGGGGCATGGATGCATAGTTATTTGGAATTATTTTCTTTGCTTAGGGTGTTTTTCGTAAATATCTTTAGAAGATATTTTATTTTAGGGGTATCTAAGAAAATATTTTTGGAAGATATTTTCATTCTGGTTTATTAGTGCAATTAACCCTTTTTGGAGGGGCCATTATGCAATTAACGAAAGTTATTGCAAAAATACCTCGTCTGGAGCTTAGATCCTCGTACAGGATTCATTTTCACATTTCATCGAGTCGTGTACTCTTAGAATTCCGTTCTAGTCGTTTTTCTCCAGTTTCAGAGTTTCTAACTCCGGTTGCCGCCAAACTTGTTCGGGGCATATCTCTCTGCTCGGGACTCAGTTTTTGACGTCGTTTCTTCTTTTGTTCATATTTTCTCATTTTGAATCTTTTTTGTTCACGAAATTTTGCCGTTTGAACGCGTCTTCTCAAAATCCACTTTTCTAGACCTGGCGGGGCCCTTTCGGGGCACTTTTTGAAATTTTCTATAAATAGGGGGACTTAAAGAAGAAAAGTCAGATTTTGATCATCTTCCTCCTCCTCTTGGCCGGCAGCCATGGGAGCTCCCGGGGCTGCCACCTTTTCTTCTTCTCCTCTACTTGATTTCCTAAGTGAAAAGTCTTCGGCCTTAACGTTTGTTATTCGCCTCGTCGTGCTCTACCTTTTACCCTTATTAGAACTCGTTTTTGGCCAAATTTTGAGTTCGGGTTTGAAATCAAGTTGTGATTTTCATGGGGCTTCTTGGGGATTCTTGTTCACCGTGTTGTCCCCAACAAAACCCTTCGGTATCGTCGGATTCAGAGCATTTTTATTTCAGTGGGCTTTTGAGATTTCATCTCAAATTGAGGTAGGGGGTGTTATAATTTATATTCTTGTTATAAAGCATGATATTAATGCTTATACTACTTGTTTACATGCTTAAATATAAAATCTAGAGATTTTATTATTTAATTTTCTTGAATGAGATTTGATTTTCCCGGTTGTCCATAGTTTGTTTTAAACATGTGGCATGATAGGATATTACCCATTGATATGATCATGGACATATATTAAATTGAGAGCTTTTGGATAAGTAATGAAATTTTTATTTAATATTTATCTTAAGTGAAAATTTAATTCATGTGGCCTTAACTAGCTTGAAATCAATGTGTGTTAGCATATTATATTAGGCCCTAGCATACTCTTTAACATAGGTCAATTTGAGAGTAATCGGAGGTGTTTTAAAATCTAGAGAATATTTAATTAATTGATTAATTAATTTATTCCATGCGTACTATTCACTCCATTTGAATTCCGACTTAATATTCTTGATATGCATGATATATATTTTCACATACATTAAATCTAGAATATTTGATTAAGTTTTGAAACTTCTCATTTATTATTTTTCTAATATTAAAGTTTAATACTAATGGCCGTGTCTTGCTTAGAATTCACTTGTATCGTGCTAGTAAATCAAGTATTGACATGTTGTATAACATATATTAGTTTGAGATCATTTGGATGAATTTCAAAACCTAGAGATTTTAATTAAAAGGATTAATTAAAATCCATTCATTGGCTCATTGGTCATGATTAAGTTTCTAACTTGGTATTCATGCCTCTCATGATAAGTTCCCTCACGTGTATCAATTTGAGAATAACCGGATAAGTTTTGAAACTTATATTATATTATTTCCTTTGTATGGGACTTAATTCACATGGCTGTGTATTGTATGTAATGAACTTGTAACTTGACACTAGACTTGTCCTTGACATAATCCTTGACTTGTCTTGTAATCTTGACAATTTATTCCCTTAAGTAGATTAAATTTCCTGATATGATTCCATCGCGTTAGTCATGCTTTATATTGAACTCGTGTTAACTTATGAATCAGACTTGTATTTCATGTACCTTCTTCTTTTAATCAAGCATCGTGACTCCTTGTATCTAGGTTTCATTAATGTACTTAATGAACATGCATATTTGTCTTGGAATGATTTAATTACATATGTGTTGTTTAGTAGTTAATTAAATCATTAATCTTATACTTGTGGTATATTTACATCACTGAATTCCATGTGCTATATATATCTTGGTTGTAATCTATATAGACGCACACTATGATTTCTTGACATTTCACATACCATGATAGTTGATGAACTTTGGGCATGACTTTTGTGTTCCAAAATCTTGGTTGTGCATGAAACGTGGTTAATGCATTTCTTGTATTTTAATACTATCTTGGTTTGCACAACTTGTTGATTTTGGGACTTGGGATATCAATCAAGAATTGACATGGCTAAGACTTGGTTCTAGTACGGGGGAATATCTTCCTACACTATAGTGCGCACTAGGGGAAAGGTACCCATGGGTTTGTAGCCCTAAAGTGATCTTAAGAGTACGGTTTTAATTCGGGCGATATCCGAGTTTTCCATATTGGTTGATTTCACTCTTTAAATTTCATGTTGCTATTCCTTGAAGATTTAAACTTCTGTATGTGAAATGCTCCAATCTTATTTACTTGCATAGATATTATGCCTTATTATTATGTAAAACTCTTTTCGTGTTTCATGGAATGCCCCATCCTTGTTTAATCGCATATATATTATGTCTTGTTCTTGATTTTATGTATTACTTCTATTGTGTTAATTGGAATGTTCCAATCATGTTAAATTGCATAGATATTATGCATTATTCTTGATTTCATGTATTACTCTTGTCTTGCTAATTGGAATGTTCCAATCTTATTTACTTGCATAAATATTATGCCATGATCTTAATTTCATGCATTTATCTCGTCTTGTCAATTGAAATATCCCAATCATGTTAATTGCATCGATAATGTAATCCATGTTAGCTCGTATTCGAG